TATCTGTGATGCTTTTTTGAATTCGCTGCGTTTTTCTATTCATGTTTTTATTTCATTCACATTTTTATCAAGATTTGAAACTAGTAAAATATTTACTAGTTTTATTTAAGGAAATCGTCAGAAACTCCAGCTGGGAACCAACAGCAGTGCTGCTTCAGTCTGAAAATGTAATCTGATTACAATGGTTGGACTAAAAGTTGCAGCCTGGTGTGATGTCGCCCCCTGGTGGTGTCTGTCAGCAGTCTGAGCTTTGCAGGCTCACTGACGTTCAAATGTGGTGAAGTACATTTAAAATAAGAGAAAAATAAAACCTGATCAATCCCAATTTTCTGAATCTTTCACAATAAAAGCCTCTCACCCGTTGACTCGATGTCGCCAGAGAAAACGCTACCCAGGTATTTCCCAATAAAATCCCCATGTTTCTTCACGGTAACCAACAGCTGTTTTAATTTTAATGGAGTGAGGATGAAAGATTTGATCTAAACTACTGAAATGTGTAAAACTGGTGGAAATTCAGTGGAAAGCTCTGCAGCCGTACTCTTCCTGAAGGCGTTAAGGGAAATTAAACTCATACAGCCCACCTTTACAGCACTGACATGGAGGACCAGCCAGTTCATTTTTGGATCAATAAATAATCAATAAAGGTGTGACTGATCAGAGCAGACTAAACCTGAAGTTTCTGATCCAGCTTCACCTTAAAATTCCTCCTACAGCTTCACAATAAAAGCCTCCTTGTAATTTCACAGTAAAAGCCACATAGTCACATAGATCAGGGGTCCCCAATCCCAGGCCTCGAGGGCCGGTGTCCTCACCCTGGTCAACACACCTGAATCACATGATTAGTTCATCATCAGGCCTCTGGAGAACTTCAGGAAATGTTGAGGAGCTAATTTCGCCATTTAATTCAGCTGTGATGGATCAAGGACACATCTAAACCCTGCAGGGACACCGGCCCTCGTGGACTGGGACTGGGGACCCCCGACATAGATGTTTTACATTAAAAGTCTCCAAGCTGCTGCTTCACAATAAAAGCCTCTCATCTGTAGATGAGACAGTAGAGATCCCCAGGCTGCTTCAAAGTAAAACCCCTTTACCTACTTCCCCGCGAAGAACCATCGTGGCTCCACAATAAAAGCCTACCGTTTACAAAGAAAAAAAAACTCACGAAGTTCCTTCAAAGTAAAAGCAGTAAAACGGCTTTACAGTAAAAGTCCATCAGTTTAATTTTGAGTTTACCTTTTCAAGCTCACTTGTTAAAATAAAAGCCCTTGCATTAGTTCTCCAACATCTTCAAAGTTAAAGCCCTCCCCATCTTCTTTATAATAAAAGCCCTACAGCTGTTTTACATTAAAATCCAAAAGATTACATTAAAAGCAGGAAGTCACACAAACACTTCACAATTAAAGTCTTGAAACACATTTGAGCAGTAAAAGCCTCCACAGTAAGAATCCTAAGCTTTGCAAGAAAATCACCAAATCGATTACAATAAGTCACAACGATGTTTCAAAGTAAAAGCTTAAAAGTCTATGGTTTGCTTCACAATGAAAGCTTCACACAAAATAAAAGTCTTGAAGCTGGGTCAGGGCACTACTGCTCCTTCACAATAAAAGTCTCTCAGTACACACAAAATAAAAGCACAAAGATGCTTGAAATTAAAAGCAAACAAGTCCTCCTATGACTTCACAATAAAAGCCCACCAACAGTTTCACAATAAAGGTCACAAAGCTCCTTCAAATTAAAAGACTTAAAGTGGCAATTAAAACTCAACAAAATTCCTTTACTTGCTTCACAATAAAAGTCCCCTAGTAACTTCACAGTAAAAGCCTCTGAGCATTTTTACAGTAAACAGTTTCAAAATAAGAGCTCAGAGACAAAATAAAATGCTAAAGCTGCTTCGTAGTAAAACTCTCACAGCTAACTGTGTGACCAGATTTAGAAATGAAACTCTCGGAGTCGCTTCAAACCGTGTGAATTGGTTTGTAATTAGATGCTTCACAATAAAAGTCATTTCTTTCAAAATAAAACCTGCCACCTGCTTAACCACGAGATGCTGTTGGATCCCAGAGGTCAGGCTGACGGTGTTTCCTCCTTGTTGCTGTGATGTCGGCTGATGGTCGTGTTTTTGTGTCTCTCCTTGTTAAAGTTGGATGAAGCCGCCTGCGAGGTCGTCGCCCGTAAAGTGGAAACCAGCCGCTGAGTGCCTGGATGAGCTTTTAGACCATCTCGGGAATAACTGAGAGCTTTTTAGTGGGAAACCACAAAAACACCTGAGTGTTTCCTGCCGCGGCTGCTTCAGAGATCCCAACATGACATACACGAGCTTTATTTGTGGCCTAAAGTCTGAATCTGTGCGTTTTGTGTTTATGCAGCAGGACCGAAGTCATTCGAATACAAATCCTCGGACTTACAGGAGATTTGATGACAGATAAACGAGGCCCTTTATCACCATGAAGCAAGTCTGCTGAAGTTACAACTTCAAATAAAAATGAGCGATATCTGTGCTACTCTGACCTTTTCTCAATATTGTTTAAAACGATTCTTTCATTTTCTTTACACATTAAAATCACAGACTCACTAATCTCAAATATTTTGGGACAGACTAACGAACTAACGTGCTTATGGACTGAACAGCTGAACGTACAGAAATCCTGTTTTAAGCAGGCGCTGCTGAAACGTCTTTAGGCAGCTGTTGTTGTGAAATGTTGTTAGTTAAAAATAAAAGTGAATTGAACTGAAACAGTGGCCAGACCATGAGGATGCATTTCAGATTAAAACACAGAGGCCGGCTTTGTTGCTTATTGTGTTTCCAGGGTCTGTGTGCAGGGGATATCCTTAAATGGTCATGTCTGCACAGAAGCCCCGCCCTTACGCCCTTGAAACCTCCTTTATGTGAGGAGCAACCAATCAGAAGAAAGTTGCCCTGAAGGATGGGCTGTGCAAAGGGCCAGGATAAGATAAAGAAGGATTATTTTGTGACTCATGCAAAGCAGCTGAGAATGAGCAGATTAACATGTACTCAGACAAACAAGTTCATCGTCAGGAGTAAAAAACAGACAGACACTGATGCTCTTATGTTTTTTTATTTTTCAGAACTCTTTTTTCATCCTGCTGCGTATTTGCGATGGTTTTCTTCTAATATATGATGCATTTTTATATGGAGGTGCGTCCGAAAAGGTGCAAACATCAGCAAACACAAAGAAAGAGCAAGAGATTTTAGGTTCGACAAACACGTTGCAACTCGGTGACGTTCACCCTCCTCCTGGGCCTGCGTCGCTTCGTAATGACATCATCATTTTGTGATACGACAGTGCCCCCTACAGGTTCAACATCTCACTGTTTTTGAGTAAAAAAACTGAGCGTCTCCGTTTTTATAAGCAGGAAACTTTAAAACTGCCATCGTCAAATTTCTAGAGAGCTCAGAGTCGAACCCTGAACGCTTTAAAACACAGACTTTTGTCTTTTCTACACTTTCTGCTTCTCATGAACCGGTTTACAAACTCATGCTGCCTTCAGGTGACGCAGATTACCATCGAGCCTTATCAACGATGGTTCAATGTTCCCGCTCTGATTTTGTGCTTGTGAAATAAAGGATTTGAAACCCTGCACTTATTTTTTGCTAACTTGAGAAGACTCGAGTTAAAGTATTTGAGAATGTCTCAGTAAAACAGGCAGCACGGAGACAAAAGAAACACTGTGGACGTTTAAAGCAGCGAACGAATGCACACATCTGGTTTTTCTTACACTTTAAGACATTCTCAAATATTTGATACGCAACTAAAATCTTTTCTCTGCAGGCGTTCGTGTGAGTTTGTGAAAGGTGACAAATGTCATCTGGCGTCACATGTAAATAAATCAAAACAACATTTTTATTTACTTTAACATATAAAAGTTAAATTATATAGTTAACAACAGTAGAAATTATTTTATCTATGAAAGTTATTACATTTATTACTAAGTTGTTGCTGATTTTTTTCCCTCTATGTTGAATTTATTTCCTTTTTTTTCTGCTTTTGTTTCATTGCTGTCGTGTGCTAGCGTGCTATACGAGCTCAAATGTGAGCGCCATTTGTAGTTACTTCATGTTTGCATTTGAGGTCATTTTTTTGATGCATATTCTGAAATAATGTATATTTTCATCATTTTAGTTTATTTTGAAAAGTCTCAACAGGATCTTGAGCTTTATTGTGAAAGGTTTATGTGAAAAATAATCAAGTGGACGGTTTTTTGCTAACAAACCGACGCGTAAAACAGTCGCACGTCCGTCCGTAGTGTGGTTATTTTAAATATAAGACAAAGAGAGAACTATAAGAAGAAAGTAAGATGGCCACTACATCAACATTTAATTTCTATCTAGATTTTAGATTTATTTAGATAATAAACTGAGATTTATGACATATGTTTTGGTTATGTGACTGGCACTTTGCTTCCTCCGTACAAACGGGCTCTCACATGATTTTTGAGGCGAATTTATCTCGTAACTTGAAGGCAGTTAGATTGAAACTGGTTCTGGGTCTCCTGCTGAGCCTGAAGCAGAGGATGTGGTAGAAAAGACACCCGGTACAACATTTCTGTCGAGTGGTTTGGTTGTGTTGACGCTTACAGAAACATTAAGAGGAGAGCGTTCGTGCCGAGCCGCTCGTGTTCCAGTCCTCGCGGTCCGACCCAGAACCCCAAACTGGAAGACATTCTCAGAGGCAGCGCAGCAGACAGTGACTGGTCCATTCATTTCCACCCTTCAGTCCATTTATCCATTTACAACCTCACCAACCACGCCCCGCTTGACCCCGCCTCCTTTTACCCTCCACTTCCACCGATCAGAGTGTTTTTAAGTGTCATCTCTGCAGCTTGGTGTCGGCCGACGGGAGGTGACGAGTTTCCCAAAAACAAACACATCAAAGTTCAAACTCTCGTTCATCTGCAGGCCGAGCTCCTCGTTTGGTGTCCAACTCCAGTCCTCCAGAGCTACCTGCAGCTTTTAGACGCATCCTTGTTCTGACACACCTGAATCAAATGAATGGTTTGTTATTAGGCCTTTGCCAAACTTGATGTCTGCTGAAGAGGGAATCGAACCTTTTGATTCAGCTGTGTTGGAGTAGGGATGCATCTAAAAGCTGCGGACAGCAGCTCTGGAGGACTACAGCTGGACACCCCTGGTTAAAGGGACTTTTATGTAACAAACGTGCAGAACGTCATCAGCAGTTGTTGTTTTAACTGTTTTAAAATGTGACCGTTCTTTAAACCTTTGCTCTGTTTTTATCCCTACGCTCTTTTCGCCAACAGACGTTACTCTCTTACTTGGCACATAAGGTGTTTTTAGTAACTTACTTAAATATGGCTACACTGACTTGCTGCTCCTTATGGTACAAACTGGCCCAGCCTAGTTCTAAAATGAGCAGCTGCTTATTCAGGTTCTGAGAGCTTCCTGTTAATCAGCAATAGAATCAGGATCAGAAGAACAGCCGGGACTGTTTTGGGGACTTGGTCCAATCTAGATGTGGAACCAGGGACAGTACAGTGGAGGGACATTTCAGCCTGAGCAGAGGTTTTCCATCTCTGATCTTTATGACTCAAAAATATCTTTACAAATGATTTTATGATGACAGAAGTTTCTCAGGATTGTCCTGAGCCAGCGTGACGACAGAGGCTGAACTTGTGGAACCACAGTATGAGCTGCAGAGACAGGATCGCAGCACGAATGGCACTAACGACTTTCCATACATGCTGCAGTCCTGGTGATTTTCTCCCGCTGAGAACGGTGAAGGCAGTGATAGAACGTGTGCAGGAGGAAGGACGCGTTTGATGGAGACTCGTTTCATTTTTTTCTTTTTGGGAAACTCGGCTGGTAACATCGGAGAGAAGTAAAGGGTCTGAGTGAGAGAAGAAGGAAAGTCTTAGAGGTTGGAGAGGGCAGTGCAGCGACTCAGGCTGAACGTCTAAACTTTACTCTCTGGAAAGGAAAAGATCTCTCCGTCACAGAGCAGTGCAAGGAAGAAACGTACTCGGGGTGGACGCAATAAAGGGAGCTTTCAATCCTGAGCATCCATCCAGGGAGCTGCACGTCTGCTCTACCTTAAACTCTTGACTTTTATTTTGAAAGATGACAGGAAATCTTTTCCTTTCAGCTGTGTGAAGTTCAGACGAGGTTGGAGTGAAACAGTTTTCAGGGCAGTGCTCTTTGTCTAAACAAAGCGGGGCAGTGTCAGAAACGCTCCAAAGCCCCCCCACCGGCCGACACCTGAATGCATCACGGTGGAGGGAGTGAAAGCGGGAGCGTCGGGCGTTTTATCCAAACACATTCACATCCACGACATAAAAACCTGTTCTGGAATCTTTTGATTCACTAATCAATAACCGACCACTTCATCTTTTCCTTGAAGTTACATTTAAAATTCTAATTTCCTTCTCTTGAACCGCTGCACACATCGTGCCAAGTCAACATAAACAAATGGACCAATCAGAGCTCAGTGTGCCCGTCCTCATCAAAACCAAACACACAGTCGTGTTAATAACAGACAAAGTGAGCGCATGCTGTGGCGTTTTAACCCGTTAAATCCTGATCACGCAGAGCTCCAACACACAGGGCAGGTCGCGGTCGGCTCGTCGTTCAGCTTCAGTCCTGTTCAGACCGGATCAGAGTTACACAACTCGGCTGTTAGTGTCTCAATAAATCATTTAAACCTCCCCGTGTCTGCGGGGGCGTCGCACAGAAAGTACATCATGCAATATTTCTTGTAACGCCGCAAAACCCAAAATCTTGTCATGTGATCAGAGCCTGAACGCAGCACAGAGAGACTGAGCTGCGATCAGTTTTTTATGACATTATTGGTGGACTTCACAGTCCTGCTGATCTCTTTTTAAAACCAACCTCGTGTCTGAAACTCCCCACAGTCAGAGTTACACCTCCACCTGTGCTCACGGCTCTTTGACCTTTCCTGCCCCGGGTTGTGTCTCACAGGCTGCAGGCCTCTAACAGTAACTCACACCAGCCGTGTTTTGGAGAGCAGACTGTATATAAAGGATAGCTGTAGCTACCAGGACGTCACTCGCTGTAAAATACAAATAAAATTCCAGAATTTCAGTCGCCAAAACTGGAGCTCAGACTTCTTAGGCGGAGGAAATGATCTCTAACAGTGTTTTTTACCAGGCTGTTTATTTCTACTGTAAAGCTGTTCATTTTAACATACCAGTCTATGGGGACTGGCCCACCGCTGAAAGTTGCTGCTTGATTTTGGGCTCCTGCCGTCCTTCATTTATTACTTTCTGTGCAATGGAAAAGAATTAGCACTATGCTAAGCTGCACATTTCTGGCATGTTTGCAAAGTTCATGGTTACTACAGATCGGTTACTACTACAGTGGGTGTGCTCGCTATAATCTGACAGCACACTGACTGTATAGTTTATACAGAGAAGCATCCAGGGTTGTTTCTGCCCTACGTTTCCCCTGAAATGATTAATTGATTATGTTTTAGGATATTCAAAATCCCCCCATCGTCAACTATTTGTTCATGGAAAATATTTGGGAGTACACCATCTATACTACAGTCTGTTCCAACCGTAAACTGGGCTTGTATTTGACCTATAAGCTGCAGGTGCTTTTACAAGCCTCTTGGCAACCCACCTCCACCCCAGCTCTTCTGGGGTGTATCATATCTGATGTCTCAGGTGCATAGTGACAAATATAAACTCCTCTGCGGATGTAACAGCCGTTAACACAGCCTGAGACGAAGCCTGCAGACAACACTCAGGGCTGAAAGGTCAAAGCCTTTCTCTGAGCCTCGCACAAACTTTTTAGAACTCGATCCTTCACGTTTGGATGCGTTTAAAGAAGTTTCGTCGGTTTTCGTCAACGTGAAGCGAAAGCAGGAACTCGATCTACAAACTGCTGAGTGATTTTAAAAAGCAGGAATGTGGAGTTCACGTGGACACCACCTGCAGCGACCACACAAACCGGCACGCTGTTCTGATCCTCTCAGGCGTACAGTCACCCGGTCGCCCGACTGACCTCCGTCACAGGAAGCGGTCCGATCGGCACAGAGCCGTCTTCCTTCCTTCAGTCGCCAGTGTCTGCAACAAAAACCCACAAAGGCTCCCACCCCGAAAACACAACGTAACGCACGTAAAGATGTGGCAGCTGAAGAAGACGAAACAGAAAAGGTCTTCCTTCCAACCGGACAGAACATCACGCAGAAGAAGAAGAAGCGCGGCGTGTCAAAAGTGCGAAAGTCTTTGCATTCATTAAGAAATGAAAGGAAGTGAAGTTTCTACATGGCTTAAAGCTTCGGAGTTCTCAGCGCTCGCTCGACTCGCAAAAACATTTTGTCGTCGTTGTGACAGAAATGATGATGATGATTACAATGTGGCGATGAAGAGTAGGTGGGCTAGCCTCTCGGCGCCATTTCAGCAGGGCTCTTTGCATAAAATGTAAATCATCATCATCAACGTCTTGTTTTTTTTCCATTTCCAAACAGGCCCCTCCCCCTCGCCCTCCCCCATTTGATTTAAAATATTTCATAACGAGCACGAAGACCCCACCGCCCCCCCTCCCCTTTTTTTAAGCTTCTTTTTTTCTTTGTTTTCGCCGTCGTTGTTATGGCGGTTGTTGTCGTCGTCGTCGGTGTGGTTGTAGTTGTTGTTGTTGCTGAACAGAGGGAGTGTTAAAATGGGAGTTCTCCTCCTCCTCCTCCACCTTCGCCTCGTCTTCCTCCTGCGGGTGGCGCTGCAGGCTACGACGCCTCTCGTTCTGTGGAGGACTCCGCTGCCCGCTGCTCCCTCTCCAGGCTCCTCGCCCGCTCCTCGCTGTTCATCGTCGGGCTCCTCGAGGACTTCAGCAGCTTCTCCTCGAGCTCGTGCAGCGACGGCTCCTTATACATGCAGACTACAGGGGGAGGGCGGGGGGAGGACGGGGGAGAAAGACAGTGAGTCATTAAAGCATCACGCCACCACCAACTCTCGAATTTACACATAAAATAAACTGAAAGACATCCAGACGTAAATTCAGATGTCAGAGTTCAACCTGTGATGCTGCATTCAGTGACATAATCATAACTAACAGGTGTGCAGTTTGTGCCAGCGTGGACGAGGACACACCTGAGCCTTTATGCAAAGTATAAAAACAAACCTATTAAAACTAGCAGCTACTTCGAGGTCTATGTGCTGACGTTAAATAACAGAAAAGAAGAAGAACGAATCAGAAATGAGGAGGTAAAAGAAGACATCAGTGAGTTAACGAGGGGGAAGAAGGAAGAAGGGGAGGAAGGAGGCTGAAGGACACCGAGGAAGAGGAGGAGATTGACAGAAGGACGAGAGGAAGGTGATAGTTGACAGATGTATAGTTGATGGATATTTTTAAATGAAGATGAGGGATGAGAGGGGAGGGGCAGAGCAGCTGAAAGCAGAGACGGAGCTTCGTGTTTCCAGTTAAACCTCCATCTGTGATATTAGAGCTTCACCTTGTCCTCACACTCTGAGTTCTGGCTGGACGACCTCGGCTCCTGGCTCACCTCTGAGCTCTCCACGCCTTCCTCAAACGCTGCCGTTTGCTCCCAGGATCTAAGAGCACAGCAGCTGAGCTACAACGGCTCCTACAAACCGACAGCACAACCTCCCAGTCTCACAGCCAGCTGCCGTTTTACTGGTTGTATCGTCAAACAGGACTAAAAATATCACATTAAAAGGCTTCGCTATTCTTTCAATTTATGTCATTCTGGTTCGAGGGTCAGTGTTTACGTAGGCTTTACTCGGCCAACGGTTCACCTGAAGTAGGTCAGAATGTGAGGCTGAGGATTTTGAGATATGACGTTCAGAAACACTTTTTCCTGCCTCTGTGTTTTAATATCAGGACGTTTCCAGCAGAATGTAGATGTCAGTGTTTCAGTGTTAAGCACCTACATTTACAAAATCTCCTCTAAATGCAAAACCTCACTTCTACTACGATAAACTACAGACATGTGGAGAACCGTCGATTTCAAAGTACAAAAATCCCAAACTGGGAGAAAAAGCTGACTTTTCTACTTCTTCTCTCATGTTTGCGCTTAAAAAAACATTTTGTTGTAAAAATACAGAGTGTGGAGTTTAGCTCAGAGCGGGAGGCGAGGTTACACTTTCCTCTAAACACAACTTGTGTGTCTGACGCGGAGCAGAGGAAGCTGAAGATATCAGCAGCATGTGCACACAGAAGAACAATGTGAAATAGTTTTAACATTAGCTTATTAAAAGTTTTGAAATATGATGACCTGTTGGAATCGTGAGCTCCTGTCGTGTAAACATGAAATGTAACTGTTGGACTGACGTCATCACAGACCTGCAAAATCAGTCATGAACTGTAAGGATAAATATTCACTCTGGGACAACAGAAAACAAGCGTGCCTTGAACTCCAGGACGGTTCCCCGAGGACCTCAACAATACTGCAGACCCACAAACCTTCTTTACACATAAAGAAAATCGACGGTGGCGTTACTAATTCACACTTCGTCCTCGTGTTTTGTCTTTCTGTCTGACCCGTGAGACACGAAAGCATCGCCACCACCAACATCTGTGTCCACAGCTGGTCTCACCTTCGATGGGTCTGGGGACAAAGTGTGAGCACGGTTTGGTTTTCTTCACTCGGTTTCCCTTCATGATGATTCCTTCCTTATTGAGGCCCAGGAACCAAGCCCGGCCCGACTCGTGCTGCCGATACATGGTGGACGAGTAGATGACGTAGTAGTTTTCAAAGACCGACTCCTTGAACTTGCACTCTGGTGTGAACACATCCTGATACACAAACACACAGAAAACATTTGAAGTGTAATCAGCAGAGAGATCATTTTGTAGTTTTCCTTACACGACCGCCTGCTTCACATCTCTGTGCGTCCACATGTTTGATTGCACGACTCGGCTGCTTTTATCTGAGTTTTATTTTGAAGTTTAAACTTGGGGCTTTTATTTTGAAATGAACAGCGTCGAGTGCTGACCAGCAGCCTTTTAGCGTCACGGTTCAGTTTGTGCTCAAAGCTTTTGTCATCATTTTACTTCCATATGAATCTGCCTGCCTGGTGTGACAGGACAGGAAACGCTCACTACATGCTGATACTTCACAGAAACACGGCAGGATGTGATAGGACACAGCACGCGAAGCAGCCAATGAGCCGCGACCAATACGAAACACCTCGAAGGTGATCGATCACATTACACGCACACGATAGCGTCAGCAGCACTGCAGCGCAGCGTCACATGTAACAGGACATGAGAGGCTTACAAAAGCTGGCTCTTAATTCTCAGCCTGAGTTCACACTGAGCACAAGTTCACTGCTGCAGTCTTTACAAAATGTTGATTAAACAAAAGGAATCTGAACTGTAAGAACTTCAATAATCCATAAAACATCAATGGGAAAAGAAGCTCAGTGCAAAGCAGCTGAAGAATAAAACTCGACATTATTTCGAAAGCTTCAAAAAGCTTTTAAGTTGAAATATTAATGTAAGTCTTGTTCGTGCACTTTATCCTTCACGGAGCAGGAAGCTGTGGTGGACACCAAACGTGACTGCTGGGCCGTTTAAAGTCCCAGTTTAGCACCTCCCTCCAGGTATAACAGGTGTGTGCGTGTGTGTGTGTGTGTGTGTGTGTGTGTGTGTGTGTGTGTGTGTGTGTGCACCCTCTGGATATAACAGGTGGTCAGGCGAGCCAATCAGAGCAGAACAACCCCCCTTAGCCTAGAGCCAGAGCCGGCGTTCAGTTACCTCAATTCTGCGTCCACTTAATAAATAAAAAGCAGTTTTGGTCAGCAGGTGTGGACTGCAGGCTCCTGGAGAAGCTTAGAGGCTGTTTTTATTTGTAATCTGTTGCCGATTATGTTCATGTGTCGCTGTGCTTCCTCTCCCAGCCTTTTGCTGCCCTGCTCCGACCTTTCAGACGCGTTCCTGTCATAAACTTTGTATTGATGTAAAAACTTTGTTCACCGTGAGATGTCACAGATGCTAATTACAAATCTGTCTCTGAGTGTTTAAAATGATTCACGAGTGACTGAGAATCTGATAAGAATCACGCTGAAGTCACTACTACACTTAATAAAACCCAACACAAACACAGCAACAAGGAAAAAGGAGCCACGAGGAAGGAAAGACGGGACTTCAAATGGAGCGTGACGACGATGTCGAGGAGGAAGAGGAAACAGAATAAATGATGAAAAGCGTATTTTTTCCTCCCAGCACGCAGCCTGCATCTCATATCAAGACGTGATGGTTTCAGTAAACAGTGTCGAGACGCTCGGGCCTCCCAGCACAACTTTACTTGCAGCTGTCTCACCGCTCATGCTGTAATGCTCTTACATAACTGCAGAGCAAGAGGAGGAGCTGCTGTACTCTTCATCTGAAGCTACACCTGAGAGAACATGAGTTTATATTTTATGGAGCCGAACCAAATCCTCACTTTACCTCCTAAAAAAACAGGGCTGCCTCTTCCATCCTGGATTTATCCGGCATGTGGTTGAAGGGCTGAGAGATGGGATGAAGTCATGTGATCTCCCCGCTCTCGATGGGAAGCATTTACATTTCAAAGCATTGAGCAGTCAGCACCGACTGGTGAGATGGGATCAGGCCAATTTGTGATTAATTAATAATTAATTAATGATTAAGATTCATGAAGAGGACCATCGAGCTAACAAGTGCAGAAACATTTACTAACAGCTGCACTTCCATATATGGCATCAAACCACGAAGCAGAACTGAAGCGCAGCTGCAAAGTGGCAGCAAGGTTTCATCACGTACCCGCCACGAAGGTGCGCTCGTGTTACACTGACTCAAACTACCACACAGTCAGCGTCCGCGCCTTCAAATCGCAGTGGCGGCGAGACATCTGTGATTGACAGGCAGCAGCAGCCAATAGGAGCGCTGCAGAACAGGTAGATCATGGTCGCTCCTCAGAATTACATCTTCCCCACAGCGCCGACCAACAATCGCAGCTAACAGCTAGCTTCTTCGGGCGCGCTGCGAGCTCATATTTAGTTTTTGTGTCTAACACGCCTGAGAAAGCTTCCTCACATCGTCGCCGTTATCCTCCTCTTCCTCCACCACTCTGCCTCCATCCTGATGCTGCGCACAGAGAGGCGCATTTTAAAGTTTTATGCACGTGTTGTGAATTATGGATGTTAGATGGACTCGCTGAGCAGCAGTACAGCTGTAGATGTCCTCGGTCTGATCAGGGCTGTCCTCCTAACTACTTCCATTGTTCATCATCAATTAATTATTACACACGCTGTCTAAAAGTGGAACTTTTGTACCGTAATGTCACCGAGTTTGCATCTGAACACGAGCTGGAACAGAAAAAACAAACGCAGGATCTCTTTGCAGGGGAAGAACTGGATCGGTCAGATAATGAAATAAGATCTGAAATCAGATCTTGTGGGGATTAAAACTGAGAGAAGTGTTTTCACTTCAGTGAGAAACTTTATCTCAGTGTCACCCTTTAAACTCTGCCTGAGTCCTTGAGCAAAGCAGTAACACCTTATTACCTCACAAACAGTAGTTGACTATCAGCAACGAGACGTGTTAATAGTTAAAATGATTGTTGGGGACACGTCAGGAGCTCCTGGCTTTACCTGCTCCAAACCTTTAACGAAACAAGCTCAAGAAGGACATGAGGATGAGGCAGATGTTCTTACAGATGTGTAGAGGAATCCCTCGGCGTTCATGGCCACGTACAGCGCGGCCTTCACTCCCTGGATGGCCACGACCCTCAAACCTACTGGGATCAGGTTAAACAGAGCTGGAGGGCGAGAGACATAGAAACAGACAGAGAGAGAGAGTTAGGTAGTGAGAGGCAGAAGTAGATTAATACAAAACGTCACAGAGAGCACAGAAGACGGACGGAGCTACCAGGAAGTCTGCCGCAGTTACCGAGCTCTTATTGTGAAACCTCGAGTTGAGTCATTTGGCGTTTTGAAAGCAGATGTGACGATCGAGCGGCGGAGATGAACGAGGAACTAAGATACTGCACTAAACTCCCCTCTTAACGACCGTGATTTCAAACGTTGATGACCTGGCTCTCTTCCTCTCCTTACTCCTGCAGGTTTCTTCCTGTTAAAAGGGAGCTTTTCCTTCCCACTGTTGCCAAAGTGCTTGATTGTTGGGTTTTCCTCTGTATGTATTATTGTAGGGTTTACATTACAGTATGAAGCACCTTGAGGAGACTGTTGTGTAAATAAAACTCAATTCGAGACCTCCCAGAATATTTTTGTTCTATGAATATGTGCACGTATATATCAGACGGAGCAGAAACGTTTAACACTGCAGGATGATGTGAAAATAGTGGGTTAGCCACAAGGTCCCAGCGTCTCAGCCAGGCGGAGGTTGAGACCCGGACTCTGGACCGTTGCAGCAGCTCCATTCTCTCCTTTTTCAGCTGTTACATGCTAGCATGCTAACAGAGGCCTGTAGAGTCTCCTGGGGGGAATTTGCTGGGATATCCACTCCTGAGATGATGTCTTGAGTGTTTTCCACGTGTGGATACCGTCCTCCGCTGTGGAATAACGGACTTGAGATTCTTTGGCGATGGCCTTATCCCTGCGTGACCGATGGACATCAACTGATGCTTCTTTAAGCTCGTTGCTGATGCCTTTCCTCCTCTGCATTGTGTTAACACACAAACCTGCAAACCTCAGAAACGTCTGCTTCTATCTGTTCTCACATTTGCAGTAAAAAGTGTCGGAAATGAAAATGTCACGAAGAGTCGCACAGAGCAGGTTTAAATTAATAAACCAGCAGTGATTCCTCCATCTCTGCTTTAAATCTTCTGCACCTGTGTAAATCAGACCCACTCAGCATTAAAAAATCCCATTACACCTCCTCAAACTGTGAATTCTTGTGCTTTTAGTCGATCTGTAACGGTGGTTAAAACCCGGCTCAGCCTGCTGATGTGCTTCCAGCTGATAAAGCGAGAGAAAAAGACTGAATAAAAGCAGAGAGAGAGCGAGAGGGGGGGTGATAGAGGGACGCAGTGATGAGAGGTGATTTAATCCTCGGGGACAGAGAGCTGCAGTGTGGGTGAGGATGAGGAGTAGGAGGAGGTGGAGGAGGAAGAGGCCTGTGGCAATGGCTGCGGTTAATCCTCCTTTATTTAACTCAGAGATGATCAGAGAGAAAGCGAGAGGGGGAGAGAGGGGAATCCAAAACATCTCCTCCTCCTCTTCTTGTCCTGTTTTTGCTTCTTTTTTCCAAACCAAAAGGATTTACAGGAAGCAGCAGAGGCTGTAATCCTGAGCTCATCCAGCCGAGAAACAAAGACCTGCAGCGGGAACGTGACCGAGTATCGACGATCAGAAGCTGCCTTCAGACTGCTCCACCTCGGATCACTCTGTTACAGATGCCAGATGCAGCTTCAGCTCTGTTTTCTGACGCAACCCCAAACGGGATTTGTGGAATCGAACCAACGACCTTTTGCTTGCCAAGTGAATGTGTTAAACATGACAGCGTTGTAGGGGAGGTGCCTTTAGTGAGGGGAGGGTGGAGCGTGAGAGCGACAGATGGATTGGGGCGGAGTCTGCAGCGGTGCAGACGCTGCATTGACATCCCCACACTCACCTGTGGGGAGTGACTGAAAGAGCTGCAGGTGTAAGCTGTGGAAATGCAGCTTACACCTTATTGACGGGGCTCAGAGCAGATCTGCTGGTCCTCCACATCGAATAGTTCAGGCAAGTCCGACCGGGAGGAGGCCCCGGCAGACCCAGGACTTACTGGAGAGATTATATCTCAGCTGGCTGGGATCAAATCCCCCCGGATGAGCTGGAGGAGCTGGCGAAGGAGGTCCGGACTTCTCTGGTTAGACTTCATGACCCAAACCCGGGGAAGCAGCAGAAGATTGTTGGATTATGTTTATGTTCTGATTTAATGAGCTGTTGTGTTTGAGATCCTTCTTCTGTGTAATGTTTCACCTTTCTGAGCTGTTCTCTTGTTTGACATCGGATGATTTGATCCACGGTGCTTTTACACTTTGGCTGTGGCTCTTTCCATAAAAGTTGGAGGTAGCGACCACAACATCACACAGTAGTGAGTGTGAAACAACATGCTCACTGAACCCTTCATAAAACCGACTCCTGACACCAAACTTTACAAAATGACGAGCCCATAAACCCTCAGGATCGCCCCCTGGAGGTCATTAAAAGAGTACAGGTGTGAGGCATTTTCTCTTCACTCTTCAGACAGAGAAGCCACGCCCATTTTTTATGTAGCGTGCGGTCTAGACAAATACAGTTTTAATGTGGGACTCACTGTAGTCGCTGTTCTCGTCCTTGGTGCCGCTGATGGCTCCTTCGGGCTGCATCTGCAGGAAGAAGCCCTGCTCGCTGAAGAGGCGCGTCACGATGCCCTTCAGCTGCGGCTCTGAAACACAAAGACCGATGTGAGGTTCAGCACACACACACACACACACACGCACACACACTGTACCTGACAGCAGGTTGTCAGGTAGCATTGCTGAGTTTATCTCACTCATGTAATCGTTTCTTCTTCTTCTCTACTTTCACATTTGAGAAGAAGAAGAAGAAACAAGCGTACATCCCAACATTTCCCGTCCAGCGTTCCTCACACAGACTCGACCGCAGAGAAATGTCACACCTGTGCAGTCAGCTTGCAAATCACGCTAGCTAGCATTAGCTGATAAATCAGCAGTTCACCCTTTGCTTGCATAAGACATATAACACTAACAGTGTGTCAGCCACTAGTTTAAGAACATGTTTAAACATGACCATCGGAAGCCCTCCAATCTGTGTGGACAGAGTCAGGAAGTTCCTGAAGCCCCAAATCAGTGACCTTTGCCCTCAGAGTTAGCAGATGGCTGCTGATGGGTTTCCAGCCTGGGCCACGTGAAGCTTAAGGGCACACAAACACACATGGTTCAAACCCCAGGTTGTCACATGTGCCCCAGAGACAAACCTTAAGCCACGGCTCAGCGCGCGAGTCCCTCCTGCTTGACTTTAACACCGAGCTGAAGGTCTGAGGACGTAAACACGGTAGAAGCTGAGCAGACGAAGTGATGCTCCAGATGACAATGTGGGCCAGAAGGACTCATCTCTGGCAGAAATAGACCAAAAAGACAGCGAGGCTAATGTGGAGCAGGCCGCTGTGCTACTTAACATCTGAAAGGACTGAAGACACACATATGTGTCCGGAAACGACAACAAGGTAAATCTTCACCTTTTAACAGAGCAGACGTGAGTGTGAGTGTGGAGGAGCTGACACACAGCAGGACCAACCGGCCCTGCAAAAACACAACGACCTAAACAAAGACCTTTATTGGCTGCTGCTCATTAAAGTCGTTTGGTTTTACTCTGATTACCCGTCAAACAGCCCACTATCGCCTTGCTCAAGTGCTCGCTCACAGGTTTACTTTCTGGTAAAAGCAATCTTGGTTATGAATTCAGAGAATAATAATAGCCTCCAACATGATCATTTTAAAGGATTTAAGGTGTCAAACAGAAATTAATATTAACTAAATACCGATAAGGACCTAACGTTTATATTCAAGGAGCTAACTTATTTATTTCTGGTCATTTTTACGTTCATAAATACATTCAGTTGTTTTCCCACATATTTATGTCATCAGTGCATTTTAAAGGAAGGCCATAGAAGTCAGCTGGTTTACTTTAGAGGGCAGTGGCGTACCTCACGCTGTGTTTTGATGTTCAGAACCCAAAGTCAGCGTGCTGACGATTCAAACACCGACAGTCACGAAACATCTGCAAGGTGTAATCTCTAATTATAAGCACGGATCCAGGAGCTATATCTGTGAGTGTGTGTCACGCTGTGTGAAGACAAGCTGTGAGTTTTAACATCTGTGAGGCCGCGGGCGACAAAACACCTCGTCACACGCTGCTCCCCGAGCTCAGGCGTGATCAGACTGACAGCGCCTTTAAAACCCAACCTCGTCTTCCCGAGTCGCAGCGAAACGACAAACGCTGAACTAAGAACGCCGTCTGCTGCTGTGGGAGCTTTCTACACGAAGGAACCGTGACATCGATGAAAGAAAACCACCTGCTCATCTCTTACATATATTTATCGATGACCCGAGATGGTACGAAAGCCAACGTTTTCTAAATGTGCATTCCTTTTAAAGGCCACCAGGGGGCGACACCTGAAAGAAAAGACGAGGAAATAGCTCATGGACCTCATTACTGGTTTCCACACACCAACACAGTGATGGTGTAAATCAGGAGTGTCAAACATGAGGCCCGTGGGCCAGAATCTGCCCGACGATGACTCCAATCCGGCCCACTTTAAGTTTCGCAGTTTTCCCTCCACGCCACACCAAACTACAGGATATGCTCTGTGAATGAATGAAAACTTTACATTGTAAATGCATAATTACAGGACAGTCTGAGCGATGAGCTACCAGAACCTTCTCTGCAACTTTCCTACCTGTTTCAAGCCCACTACACATCACAGTTTTCCTTTTAGGACATCGCAGACTGAGAGGGCGAGCGGCTTGATTCTGGCCCTCAGGCCGCACTTTGCCCCTGTGTGTGGTCGATTCTGCACAAAAAGGTGGCCAAAAAGCCGAAGGAAAACCTGGAAGTGCTGCTGAAGGATACTGGAGGCACGCGGTCGTGTTTTGATTTGAACTTGAGCAAAGTTGGGGGTGAAATCTTTACGGCTTCAAAAAGGCTTCATGCAGTAACAGATCTCATAAGCAGAGGACTCACTGAGGGCGAAACATCAAAGCAGGGCAAAGTGCTGACGTTGAGCTGAACGCCGACTTCACCAGCTGCAGAACAACTCATGAATAACTCGGCTTCTTCCTACCAGCTCCTTACTGGAGAACTTGAAGTCTGCAGACTCTGAAGGAGCTGATCAAGCACAAGTGCTGCGTAATAGTTTTTTTAAGAAGCTGTTTGTTGTATTGCCAAGAAAACAGGAGGCGGAGGCGACGGCGGGGAGTCGGCTAATGAGAGATGAGAGCTGCAGCTAGCTCATAAATGTGTAAACGCAGACATCCGTCCAGTTCTCCGACGCTCTGCTGCTGCTCTCCGAGAAGCTTTCTCTGGAGGGAACGCCGCGCGAGTTCAGGTCGACTTTTATCTCGTTATTCTGCAGGAGGACTAGAAAACATAAAGGTTTGCAGTTACTTCAAGAAAAGAAAAATGCCGTCTGGAATCACACCGTGGGGATCTGATGATGCAACGCTTATTACAAATAAAACAGAGAACATGGAAGAACCCACAGCAAACAGGGAGGTGAGTTTTCTTTATGCAATCCAGTATCATGATGAACCCACAGAACATACAACACCACGGAAACCTCAAATTAAAGCTGAGCTTCAACTTTCTGAGCTTTAAAAGGCTGAAACCGTCCTCGTCAAGGCAACCAATGAACTTCTTCAGTGTTGACGGACCCTCAACAGACACAGGTAAGGAAAGCCCTGAATCTGAATTTATCAAAGTGAACATAAGGATAAGCTTTATTTGTCAGTTGCAGTTGCCTGCAGCTGAAATGACAGACCTACAGACAATATACAAACTTACACTGGGGAGACAGGTCAGGCTAGAAAAAGGGATAGACAGTGAAATATGTAACATATGGGGACAAAGTCAGGAGAAAACAAAGGGTTTCTGCCCATGATGACTTCCAACAAGTGAGTCATCATAAGGAGAAAGCACAGAAAACTCCATAGCACACAAAGAAGCACAGATATCATCACACTCTACGCCATGAAACACAGACAAGCAGCATACGGGCGGGGGTACGCCGATGTACACAGTGGTCGCGGACGCTGCAATTCCTCGCGCCTCCAGCTGAGCCGCTGTCTCCATCGGGGGAGGCGGGGTAAGCACGGTTACCTGATCAGAACTGATTGATGTTCTGATCAGGTAACTGTGCAGCAACCAAGGTGTCTGTTTAGTGTTCGAGTGGGAGGAGCCAGACGTCTGAAAGCGACGTTAATAACTAGGGGGGAGGGGGAGGGGCTTCAAAATAACTGCCCGGATTTGTTCAAGTTGCCAAGTTGGGAGGTTTCCTTCCTCAAAGATTCCTGCGTCATTGACAGGAAATGTTCTTATATGGCGATCTCAGGTGCACAGAAGGCCTGCTCACCTACTGTTAAAACCAGCCAGTCAGAGGAAAGCTGAGTTAAAGCTGCAGGTTGTTCACATTAAATTGGACCTGTGTTATTTCCTGTCATATATCTGCTACTTTACGAGCAACAGCCAATCAGAAAGACAAAGGATGCCCTGTGTAAGATAAAGAAGGATTATTTTGAATGGTGACTCGTGCTAAGCTGCTCTGATCAGCGTGGTCATGAACCTGTGTGAGAGCAGTGTTCCCGTCCCGCCGTAACACGGCAAACCTTTGCTCTCCGAATCGTTCCACCCACCTGGTTTCCGGCGTACTGGTCTTTTCTTTCCGCTGCAGAAGCGAACTTTGCTAAAGACGCTGAAGATGTGTCGCTCACACAGAGATCTCGGGTCTTTACTGGGACTTGAGCGTCGCTTGTTAGTGGCGACTTTGTCGCTGTTGGACTCGCGGGCCTGGCGCTTCTGTCTGATCAGGGAGCTGGCGATAGCCGCCGCCATATCTCTGAGAGGAGGACGAAGCCACAGAGGAACAAAATATCTGCTCCTGCTGTCCGAGTCTGAGGCTGACGACCCTTCAGTCCGAAACAGGTGACATGTCGCCTGACGGGCCTCGGAGGGACCGAGTCTGGATGAAAAATCTTCTCCCTTATGGCAAATCGTTGATTAGGTACCAAAACGTTAGAGATCCACTGTGTGGAACAGCTGATGCACAACGGTCACACGTACAGGCTTCAAAAGAAAAACACCAGAAGGATCCTGAAAATCCACAAAAGTGAAGAACCCGGAAGTCGTTTCACGTTCGTGCGATTCACCGCACAAAACCTGTGTGCACTCCGATGTTAGGAAACAGATATTCCTCTTAAACAGTTTAAATAGTTGATTTATGAGTATATGTTTACATGTTGAGGCTTGCTTTCTGACGACTAATCCAAAGAACGGTGATGAAGTCCCCGCACTCTTCAGCTGAGGGTTTGGAAATAGATCACAAATCCTGATGGAGCTCTGAAAGACGGAAACTTTAAATATCCAGAGAAGAACAGAATACCTGTTCCCTAAATAACCCTACAGGTTCCCACACAAGTTAAGACGCAGCACTGGCCTGGAAACGATTATTAAAGGAATAAAGAAAAACTCTGAATGAACATTTGATGAGTGATTACGCCTCGATCGAGGAGCTCATCGTGTCTGCTGGGTAATTTATCACTTTAGGTCACCTCCATCTTTCAGACGCTCCGATGGAAGCGCACATGGCAGCAGGGATTTTCTCGATTTACGCGCCACAAACAGAAGAATCAAAGAGCTTCACCGTGACGTTTCTTCACATCTCTGTGGAGCGAGAGGAAAGCATCTTCATCCACCCGCCTACATCAGCTCGTCAACAACTTCCCGACATGCAGAAAAAGAGGAACAAACCCGAGAAGTTCAGAATTATCCCAGAGAAGAGCCGATAAAGCCGCCGATTCCACGCGCATGCACTCCGCTCTGCTCTATTTTACTCTACTCTGTTCTCCTGCCTCATCCTCTCCTCCTCCTCCTCCTCCTCTTCCTCGCAGGCTGAGAGCTGCTGAATGTGAAGAGAGAGGAGCGAGGAGAAAAGAGAGCAGCCGTCAGCGAGAGATCGAGGAGAGAGAGAGAGATGGAGAGAGGAGAGGTGGAGGTGTGGAAGAAGCTCCTAAAAATATTCCGCCTGATGTTTCATGTTGCTCCCACATCAGACCACTCCATCTTCACTGCAGCATCCCGACGCACACGAGTGCGCTACACGCCGCAGGACGACTGGTTACTACAGAACAACATCAGCATCGAGGCGCCCCGCTGTCGGAGTCGTGCATGTTAGAAAAAAAATCCTTTCGTTTCACTTTAATCTTCAAACCAGATCATCACAAATTACAGCCAAACGCTGGCTTCTGCACTGAGCGCAAACATTTTGTTTGTTTGGACCCAAAAGTGACCAGATCTGGACACGTGCGTGGTTAGAAGACCTCATTTAGGCTCTGATCAATTTTAAAATGAGGATTTTCTGCTTTTGTTTTGAAAATATATCTACAGGAAAGGCAAAAGCAGCTGGCGATAAAAAACCTCAGAATCCTGCAAACAACACGGCGCTGTCTGATACCACAATCTTTTGCAGCACAATCCGCGCACAAACATGTTCTGGAGAGCATCAGCATGAAAACAACTTCAAAAGCTACGTTTTCACTGACCTAATTGAAAAATAAAACAACTGAATTTTAGGATTTTGGGGTTGTTTTTGTAGCAGGACACAGTTTGAGAAAATTCTAAAACTATAATTATTACAGAATTATTAGCAACAAGCACACTTCTCTAGAAAATTGCCACATAGTTCAGACATAGTCCTCATCATTTTGAACATTAATAAAAAAATCCTCTCTGCATGTGACCCATTCACTCAGCAAAGCAGTGGGCAGCCACCAATCTAGCGCCCAGGGAGCAGTGTGTGGGGACAATACCTTGCTCAGGGGTACCTCAGGGTAGCCGTTCAATGGATTCGAACCCCCGACCTTCCGATCATAGGGCCACCAATCTACCTACCGAGCTATCCCTGCCCCTACGAAGCAGCTTAGTGTCACTTTGAGAAGGAAAGTCTGTTGTAAGACACGGCTCTCCCACAGGGCTGCTCCATTATGGCAAAAATCCACACTTAAGGAAACTGAGGCATACTGAGTGTCTTGATGCTCAATCATCCAGGTAAGGAGATCCCAAAAGGTTGAGTCTGTTCATCTGGAGGTTTCAGTGGCGTTTCATCATCATCAGGTGACGTCTGCAGTCTCAGCGGACTGCAGGTTTCAACCTTATAAACAGGACATTTGGACAATGACTGAAACCAGCCAATGGGCTGGGAGGTCACTTTCTTTATCATTAATATGCAAATTGACATCAATGGTCATGAGTCCCATTCACAGAGAGTTGGGGAATGGCTGCAATCACAGCATGTAAGATGGGGACAGATGGACCCTTAGGCCCCCTCCTCGATTCAGAGACTGTCTTTCCCTTTTCACGTAAATGGCCTCCTTGACTCCGCCCTCAAACCAGCGTTCCTCCCTGTCCAGGATGTTACATCCTCATCATTGAAAGAGTGTCCACTGGCCTGTAGGTGTAGACTGTAGAGTAGCTCTTCTGTGTTGGTCCACCCACATTGAGGTTGTTTGGTTGTGTATGGAGGAGGTTGGGGTGGATGGATGGGTGCAGGAAACAGAAATGTTCAGACAAATCCTGATCTTTTCCTCATCTGATCATATTCCTGATGAAACCAGATATTTACATGTATATTACTACATAGCAGACGGCTTATTTAACAGTGATTTGTGGCCCATCTCTTGCTGCTGTGGGTTTTATTGTGGAGCAGAAGCCCTGAGGAGATTCTGATTTATTCACGGAGGGAGCAGATAAACGCGGTGCAGTAAAAGTCTTCACTTTTTCCATGAAGCATGTAGTTTAAAACAACGGAAACAAGGTGCATGTTAAATTGTCGAGCTCTGCAACCTCTCAGTTTCTGCTCTGAAGCGTCTCTGCTGTGCCGCGCTCACACTTCCTGTCAGAGGCTGTGAAGTCAACTGCAGGGTTACATAAAGGCATCTTTATTCCCGCTGCATCTCTACAGCGGCAGCACACACGGCTCACGAACACGTCGCCGGGGCTGAATAACCGTGAGATCTGCTCCAAGTCAGGAAACGCTCTCTGAGCCCGCAGGCAACGACGTGATCTGACACTCAGCCCGCCGTCCTGTCGTTCTGCGCTCAGAGCAGAAATGATTCACTCATCGCTTCACATCTGATCACACTGTGAATGCTGGAAAGCTGCAGCCTCAGGTGGGGAGACAAACCCAGAGAAAACTGATCCCAGCTCTGTGCACACGGCTGAGTCTGAGCTTCATTATGAAAGAGATAAATCTACAACAAGTATTTCAAATATGGATTAAAATACAGCTTTTTTCTAGATTCGTTAAATGATTCTTTGGCATAAGATTTCCACTGAAGTCTCTTTATTTCAGACCTCTTACTACTAATGCTTCTACAACTATTTGTTAATACAATTAACCTCTCAGCAGTCGTGCTATTGGTCAGATAATGTCATTAAAATGGCTCCAACAGCACAAACACAGTCCAGAGGTGCAGTTCAGGTGAAGCTAGCAGACCGCTAGCAGCTACAGCCGCCTGTGTCACCAATGGATCTATTAATGCAAACTTTAAACCTTAATACAATTAAAACAGGTGAGTTATTAATAAATTGTCCTACGAAGGAAGAAATGATTTATAGAGACCAAAATAGTTTTTCTGTCAGGCTGTAAACACGCTTATTTCTGCTGTTGGACATTTCATCGTGGGAGTCTTTTTGGACTGACTCTGGAGCCCCCTGTGGACATTAGAGGGACTGCACCTGTGTGTTGGCTTCATTTGCTGTCATATTTCTGGCATCCAGTAGCTGTTAATAGCTGCATGTTTGTGTTTTAATTACCGTGTTTATATTCTTTCCTTGTTGTTTCTGCATTGATGTGTAAATGGAAAATAATACAGATCCATATTTTTATTCGGGTACTCCAAGGCATAGCTTTACATTACATTACAGTTTCTTTAAGCCCTCCCGATAAGTGAGCTTTCATCTGATTGACCAGCTCTGTAAGCCTACCGAGGGGCATGTATAGGCCCAGTGTTACCAGTAATCAGTCCAAACCGAGAACTCAGAGCATCTGTGGTGACCACAAGATCTTATTATTATGGGGGTGGGCACTTATGCTAAAACACTGGTAACCTTTGCTTCCTTTGTGACTGACCTAATATTACGGCGTACTGAGCTGCTGCAGCTATTCTCCTGTTAAATCTGCTGATTAAAGCACATTTTGGGGGGTTTTAGGATCTGGTTCTGATCCAGACCATCTCATTTTTCTTTCTGAAGAGTGAAATCCTGCAGAGAAGTGTGAAACACTTTCAGCAAACAGGTCATTTCAGCGCCGTTAAAGACGAAGGCTCCACCTCTCTTTGGTTTGTCTCTGGACCTGAGGCTGAGGCGTCCAGCAGGATCCATGGCTCACGCACCGAAGTGAAACTGAATGGGATTAACTTCGTCACTAACCGGGTGCGCACGTGTCAGTGAACGCACCATCATGCTGAATGTAGGCCTACACTCTCGCAGAAAAAAAAACAGGTCAGCGTCTTTAATTACTGTCGTGTATTTGCGTCCTCGTACCTGCTCAGTGGGACTGAGGGAGGAGAAACGTCTCCGTCGCTCACTCTGATTATCAGATCCTGACGCTGCCAGTTATCCTGCCCAGATCAGATCAACAATGTCTGACTCACTCGACGTTAAAAGGATCGTGTAGTTATTAACTTACTGCTTTCCGATACCTGTAGAAACAAATGAAAATGCTTATTTGAGAGGAGATGTGCAAGACTCATGTCTACCTCTAAATCTCTTAACCCAGTTCTCTGACACTGAAGCTTGAGGTCTGTGGGCTAAATCCAGCTCTTCACAAGTTTTAGTCTAGCACATCGCACATCTCCTTGTAGCTCCTCCATTCCTTAAAAGCCCACTTTCTATTGATTGGTGAACACATGGAAGCCTGCCAAGAGTACGGAAAAATCATAGTAAAGAAAACGCTGGAGGCCAACTCCAAGGCAACCACGCAAGCGTGGAAAATAAAGACACGAAGCACCGTCCCCGCCAGTGTTCTCCATAGACCTGAAGCTCGTCGTCAAAAGCAGAGACGCACATAGATTCAGGAGTGGAGTGACCGTCAGTCACATCCTGTACGTGGACGACTTCTGTACGCCACGATAGAGCGAGGCATCGACTCAGCGATCCACATAATCAGGATCTGCTGTGAGGACATCAGGATGTCATTCAGACTGTAAGAGCGACACGTCCTGAGAAGCTGAACGGCAGGAATAAGATCCAAGCCATCAATATGTACGTCCCCCAGACACCCAGCTGGGATAAGAAGGTGGTCACAGGAGGAAGTTACCGATTTCTATGTATGTGGCCATTGGAGGAACTGCAGCTTTAAGCTTAACCGAACCCTTTTCTTCTTCTTTTTATACACTTTTAGTACTTTGTGTCATTTCTATAATTGATGTCAGGAGAGATGAGTTTAATTCGGGTTTTGTTTGGTCTACATCGACTCTGCAGCCTGCATCAGGGACTTAACAAGACGACTGTCAAACTATTAGCTTGCTAATGTTGATATTTATCCTCCACCTCCAACTGTTCACTGTAGACAAACACCTGTACGACATCACTGACCTGTCCTGATGGTCGCAGGTTCGATATCTGCTGAATAATGTAAGTTCATACCTGGGAGAGTCCAGGACCGAAGGACAGGAAATCCACTGTGGCAGCACCACAATCGATCCCACGGCTCATTGACACCCAGCAGGTGTGTGTGTGTGTGTGTGTGTGTGTGTGTGTGTGTGTGTACAGTTCAGGTATGTTTCCTGATCAATAGACAGACTGCCTCATCAGAGGGCAGGAGAATGTCAGCAGGACAACAACAGCAACACCATTAAACTGCC